GCATCACTGGGCTACCGGAAGCGCACCTCCGGACTACTGGCACTGCTAGCAACACGACGGCTACCTCCACCCAACCTCCCTCTACTGCCGCACCCCCCATTCACACACCCCCTGCTGCACCCCTAGGTTCACTCACACGTCATCCCCTAGCACCACGCCTTTGGCTCACAGTCATCCACCCCCCTCAGCGGTAGCTGCAGCAGTGAGAGACAAAGGAGGAGGAGGGGAAGGGAAACATACCACCCATCAACCCCATACCCGCCACCCCCATACCCTCCGTTCCACGGCTGCACGCGCAGCAGGGAGACGAAGAAGGGGGGGGGGGGGGGGGGGGGGGGGGGGGGGAGAGCAGTAACAGGCGGCAATGGGCAGCACAGGGAGGCGGCGGCACCGGGTCCAGGGGCGGCGTCGCGGGGTCCAGGGGCGGCTGCTCCAGGAGCCAGGGGCGGCTGCTGAGGTCCAGGGGCGGCTGCACCAGGGGCGGCTACTCCAGGGGCCAGGGGCGGCTGCTCCAGGGGCCAGGGGTGGCTGCTCCAGGGGCCAGGGGCGGCTGCTCTGGGTCCAGGGGCGGCTGCTCCAGGGGCGGCTGCACCAGGGGCGGCTGCCCCGACGCGCGGCCACCCCCAGGTCGCCCCTCCCGTCGCTTGTGGAGGCGACCTGAGGGGGGGGGGGGGGGGGGGGGGGGGGGGGGGGGCAGCGTGCGGCCCCCCAGGTCGCCCCTCCCGTCGCCTTACGAGGCGACCTGGGGGGGGGGGGGCCGCGCGCGGCCGCCCCCAGGTCGCCACGTAAGGCGACGGGAAAGGGGGGGGGGGGCGGTGCGCGGGCCCCCGGTGCGCCGGTGCAGGCACGAGGGGGGCGGGGCCTGGGCAGGGTCGGGGCATGGCAGGGGCAGGGCCGCGATAGGGCCGCGACAGGGTCGGGGCAGGGCCGTGACAGGTTCGGGACAGGGGCGGCGCCGGGCGACGGGGCCGATACGGGGGGGCCGCGACGGGGGCCTGCGACAGGGGGCCGCGACGGGGGGTTGCGACGGGGGGGGCCGCGACGGGGGGCCGCGACGGTGGGCCGCGACGAGGGGCCGCGACAGGGTCGGGGCAGGGCCGGGGTCGGGGCAGGTCCGGGACGGGGCCGCGACAGGGTCGGGGCAGGTCCTGGACAGGCCGCGAAGGGGCCGCGACGGGCCTAACGGGCCGCGAAGGGGCCGCTACAGGTCGTAAAGGGGGCCGCGAAGGGGCCGAACTGGCCGCGAAGGGGCCGAGACGGAGGCCTAACGGGCCGCGAAAGGGGCCGCGACGGGCCTAACGGGCCGCGAAGGGGGCCGCGACGGGTCGTAAAGGGGGCCGCGAAGGGGCCTAACGGGCCGCGAAGGGGCCGCGACGGGGGCCTAACGGGCCGCGAAAGGGGCCGCGACGGGCCGTACGAGGGGCCGCGAAGGGGCCTAACGAGGGGCCGCGAAGGGCCGTACGAGGGGCCGTGAAGGGGCCTAACGAGGGGCCGCGAAGGGGCCTTACGAGGGGCCGCGAAAGGGCCTAACGAGGGGCCGCGAAGGGGCCTTACGAGGGGCCGCGAAGGGGCCTTACGAGGGGCCGCGAAGGGGCCGTACGAGGGGCCGCGAAGGGGCCTAACGAGGGGCCGCGAAGGGCCGTTAAGGGCAGGCGCGACGCGCGCCTCGGGTAGGAAAAAAAAAAATAGTGTAAACGTGGTGGGCCCTTAGGAAGGATCGATATTGCTCTATACCATGTGAGAATTGAGAAGGAATGAATGGACTAGAAAGCAATTGAGTACATATAGGAAACCCTAACAGGGTTGTACTCACTATGGAGTACCCCACTGCAGACTAGAGAAACATGATATTCTGACAATATTCACCAAGGCGCTTCCGCCTGGTGATCATCAGCGTTTCTGCACTTTGTTAGGCCTTGTGCCCACTCTTCCTCACTTGCTGTAGGCCTTGTTTGTACCATGATTTATATGTATTCCTGCATGCTTGTTCTTGTAGGTAGATATCACTGTACTGTTGTTGTTACATATATATTTCTGCATGTGAACTGGCCTTGTGGCCTTCTTGCTTGTGCTCAGACTGCGTGGTGACGTTGTGATCCACCCTGAGCTTGCTTTGCACTTCCTGACTGGTCTTGTGACCCTCTGTTCTCCCCCACTTTGCCTATGGGGGTGTGTCAAACATATGTGTATATTTGTTATAGTTTGGTTAGGCTTAGTGGGGTACTCACTGTGGGGTACAACCCCTTAGGTTTCTCCTTTGTATCTTTCCCTTCGATAGTCCACACACCACTTTCCCGTAAGATTATGACAATGCAGTATGCTAGCATGGTAACAGTGGACTTTTTGCGCGGTGCAGTATGCTATGGCGGTCATAGGAGGGAGGGTCCGAGGCCTACTCGGCGCCCCAAGAACGCGCCTACTTTACTCTCCAATTTGTGTGAAGGGCGAGCGGGGCGAGCTGGAACAGCTGAGAAATGCGATGAAACCCCCTCCGAATCAACCTAAGCAGCAACTGCAGTGGGAAGAAGTGATGGGGAGGAAGATTGATTGGGGGAAGGCCATCACAGTCCGTGACTCGCTGGCAACCCCATGCAGGGCACGCGAAGTGGTGCTGAGGGTGCATAGTAACAACCTCCAAGTGGGAGAAAGGCTCTGCAGGGGAGTGGAATCGCAAGATCACTACTTATTTACGCAACGCACTGCGTTGCACTGCGGCGGAGTGGAATCGCAAGATCACTACTTATTTAGCTGCCCAGTGATCCAGCCAGCGGTGGAGGTGATGAAAAAGGCGGTGTAATGCATGAATCCAGGCAGGGATATGAGGTCTCTCGGGGACATGCTCTTTCAAAAGAGTGGCACGTCGTCCGGTTTTCCGGAGGCTGCAATCATTTCCATTACAGCGCAGCAGGTGTGGTTGGAGAGATGCAACGCGGTGTTCCGAGGCAGCCGTTTCCAGCCAAAAGGGGCACTGAGGCGCATAGCAGTTGGTTTTACAAGGCACGTGAAGGTCTACAGTAGAGCGCGGAGGAGGATGGTTGGCAGGAGTGGTTCGAAAAGGACGGGTGACTGGGGCCACTTGAACGCTGACGAGGCAAACGCCATGCACAGAGTTTGCGAGAAAGAGGCTTCGATGACGTGGAGAGCAGGTTTCAAAGCAATATGGGAAGATGGCGGTGTAACTTTCCAGCCTCCGTAAGTGATAAGGGGGGTTTGGTTACTTGTAACCTTTTTCATGCCCTCCTAGCATCAGTTACGACTGCGGATGTATGTATACGTGTAGTGTACTTATGTCAAAATAAAAATAAAATTTAATAATCACTGGCCATGTAGTAGAGGCTTCTAGAATTAACAGCTTTTGCCAGCTTACTGATGAGTCAGATATAGCTGTTTTTTTATAGCGTAGGCTTCTGGGACTAATGATTGCAAAGCTTTCTTACTTGCTACAAATCAGCATCCAACCTGGCCAGGTTTATCATCTCTGCTGCAGACAGAAGGTAGAAACCATGTTTTGATACGTTTATCACCAATTGTAATAGAATTCGAGATTGGGTCTACACTGAATCCCTTAGCGAAATTACTAATTTGATTGGCTGGGCGAACATCGGTGCTGGACCCATTTCAGCTCTGTACCCAGTCGTCATCCACCGATTGATACAGACAAATTGTTTCTTGAAGTTACCCGTCAGCGCCATTGATTGGAGGGTTGGATTTCGTGATGTCGCACATCAGTCCCTCACACCGAACTCGCCCTTCCCATAACGTCGCCCTCGTCGCTCACACGAAACTTGCCGCCGATGTTCTCTAGCCGAGAGAATCGCTGTTTGTTCCTCCCTCAGGGCATCGGCGACAAGTTCGTTGGGATGCCCCTCAATGAGGTTACATGTGTTATAGAATGGTAAATTTTATAAAATGTTCGGTTTTGCACGATAATAAACTTTGTGGCACCTGTACCTTCCACCGCACAGTAAGGGGTGTCCGAAGTGAACGCCGACGAAACTGGACGATACTGTAGGGAATGTCGATGAATCTTGACGGTCGGAACGCTCGATCCGAGGGTGGAAATTCGCCGACATCCCCCGACGAAACTGTAGCATACGTCGACGTTCACTTCGGACACCCCCTAACTGTCGATTTGTTTTAGCTTTCAGGCAGGGTTGCCTTGCCTATTTGTGCACAGCATACTGGAGTGCTGTTATCGTTTTCATGGCTGCTTCATGCTGCTCTTGCAAACCCCCTCATGTCTTCTCAGTGCCACTATTCCTGTCGTCGAGAACGCTGTCTGCTAACCGACCTTTGGTGTTCTGAAACTGGGCCAACGCCGGTGCCCTTTCGTATGCTGTCACAAGGTTTTTCCGGGGTGAAGCAGCCTGGAGAGTAGGCGAGATTGAGTTCATGCTGGCGAAGTTGCAATGCAGTGACGAAGGCTGGATAAGTGGTCGCAATTAACTCCATGTCGCCAAGGCGAGCTTATCTTCTGAAGAGGTAGCCGCTCCATCTGGGTCTTTGATTTAACCTTTCTTTCTCATTCTAATTAACTACTACCTTCTGACTTAGAGGAGATTATATTTTATTTATACCTTAACTTCGGGCCGGCCCTTTTCTTTAGGGTCACGAGAGCCATGTCAGGGTCAGCAGCTTACCGGCTAGAACAGCCTAACCACGATGGCGACCATCCTATAGTCCCACCGGAGTTCATCTGCCCGTTATCGCACCAGCTCTTATCGGATCCTGTAATTATCGGATCAGGTCAGACTTTTGAGCGCGGCGCCATTGAGAAATGGTTTCAACAGGGTAAGCGAGTCTGCCCTATAACGGGGAAACACCAAGAGCACTTGCGTCTCTTCCCCAACCAGGCGTTGCGTCAGCTGACTTCTGATTGGTGCGACGCGAACGGGTTACATCTCGCTCCCGGTCTAACTGTAACCCAGATCGATCCGTCAAGCCCGACCGGTAAAACTGCCGGCCACAATGGCGTTCTGCTGTCATCGTCACCCGAGCACATGGACGAGGTTATCCGTTTCCGTCAGGAACTGCAGCGAGCCCAAGCGTCTACGCCCAGACTTGTCGGCGGAAACGGCGCGCCTAATTCTAACGGACTCACTCCCTCCGGTGGCGCCATTGGCGGCCGCGGATACGCGGAACCTCCGCGGACGCCGCCGGGACTCGCAGTTGGCTTGCGAGGCGGCGGCGCGAATGCGCTACTGAGCGGTGCCACGCGGACGGTCAAGATTTCCCGATCGCAGTCGCTGCAACCCAAGGCGGGCGCGATGGGGGCGTTTTTGCGCGCGCTGAAAGAGACGGAGGGTGCGGAAGGCGAGGGGAAGGGGGGAAGCGGAGAAGGGGGAGGCGGCGGAAAGGGCTTTGGCGCAGGCGGAGAGAAGTCCCTCGGGTTGCGCCGAGCTGCGGATCCGCTTGACGGGGGCCACGGCGGAGGCGGAAGCGGCGGCTTGCGCGGAAGCGGGGAAGGGGGGAGGGATATTGGGCGGAGCGGAAGCAGGAACGAGCTCTCCGGAGGCCGGCGGGAGGGGGGAGATCCGGAGGAGCGCAGACGGCAGGACGGCGAGATGGGGAAGAACGGTGGAATCGTGAACCGCCGGCTGAACTTGGGGGGCGCGGGGGTGATGGCGGGCGGAAGCCTTGGGCGCAAAATGGGGAGCGCAATGCGCCGATCAACATCCGTTCAGGTGCAGAATTTTTCCGCTTCGGGCAGTCGCGCGGGCAGCGGACGAAAAGACGCGTTCCACGAGGCGGTTGAGGAGATGCTGGGGGAGAAGCGGGCAGGAGAAAAAGATTCCGACGGGAGGCGTGGGGGGGGTAAGGATCGGGATTCGGACCGGGACAGGCATAGGGATAGCGGCGATGAGCGGAATCTCCGGTCGGATGATGATCGCGACCGTTCTTCTAATGAGCGTCGCAATAGCGGGGAATTTCGGCTGGAAAAGGAGTATTCTTCGGAGCGGGAAGAGAAGGGTGGGAGGAGGAGTGGTGAGTATGACAGAAGTTCTAATAGCGGGGGCAGGAATTTATCTCATTTATCTAACTTAGCGGGTGGCGGAGGCAGCAACCCTAGCAGCGGAGAGTTTGAGATCGGGGGAAGCAGGGGCAAGGGGGACTCGGGGAGCGCGGGCGGAGCGTGCGGGGGACTTTCCAGGCTGGGAGCCGGGGGAGGGGGAGCGGGCGGAGACCCCTTTCGCGGACTGGGCGGAAACAGGGTGCCGATCGGGGGAAGCGTGGGGCGGCGGAGCGGAATGGGGCTTCTGCGGAGCGGATCCCTGCAGCCCCGCAACTCGCGCAAGATCGCGCGCGACTCGTTCTTTGGCGCGCTAGAAGAGGTGGACGAGGAGAAGGGCGCGTCCGGGAAAGGCGCGGGGAAGGGCGCGGGTGGGGAAGGCGCGGGGGAGGGCGGGGGGGAGGCGAGCGGGCGCAGAGTTCCGCACTCGCTTTCCGCCGGTGGGCAACCACCAATGAGTTCTCTCAAGAGTTCCCTCGGGCAGGATGGCAAACAGAGCTTCGACGTATCTCAATCCCACAGACGCGGCCATTCCGTTTCGCTCCACGACTCCTCCAGCGGCGGTGGAGGTGGGGGCGGCGGAGTGCTTGAAAAGGGCGGCGGTGCGTTGGCGGGGCTCCCAGTTGTGCCTCTAACAGGGGGAGCGGCTGTAGCTGGCGTTCCTGGAGTAGGGGGAGTGGTTCTCTCGGGAAAATCAAGGCCGCTTTCGAGCCTTCGTAGAGCTTCGTCTCTCGTGCCTGTGGGGGCGAAGGATAGGCCGGGGAGTGCGGGGGGGTTGAGAGGCGGGGGAGGCGGAGGGTTAGGGGGAGGCTTGGGGGGAGGCGGAGGGGGAAGAGGTGGGGATTCGGAGGATTCGTTTTCGTTCCATGATTTTGTAAAAGAATTGAAAGCTAGTGGCGGTGGTGGTGGTGCTGCTGCTGGTGCCGGCAGTGCTGCTGGTGGTGACTTGGGTGGTAGTGGTGGCAAAAACGAGCGTGACAATAACGAGCCCTTTTCTTTTTCAGTCAGCCATGCCGAAAACAAAACCAGCGCCAGCACCAACCTGGACGTACCCAGAAGCAGCAGCGCCAACACCGGCAGCAAAGCCGACTCGGATAGCCCAGCCCGCAGGCAATTCCCCTCGTCTCTCTCCCTCTCCAAGAGCCCTAGAGGCGCCAGAGGCGTCACTTTCGCCTCTGGGAAAGATTTAGTGGAGGATTTGAGCCTTCGTCCTAAGACCCCTCCTACTCGGTTCGGAGGGTTGAGGCCGAGTAGTGGGGGGTTTGGAGCGAGAGGAGGAGGAGGAGGAGGGGGATTGAGAAGGGCTACGTCAGTCCAGCCCGGGCTGACGTCAGCGGATATAAGGAAGTGGGGGGCGTTGGATGGGAGTGAGGGGGAGGGGGAGGGTGGGAGGGGGAGTGTGAGGGGAGGAGGACGGGGGGATGGGAGAGGGGAGAGTGGGAGAGGAGGAGAGAGTGGGAAAGGAGGAGAGAGTGGGAGAGAGAGGGAGAGGGATAGAGGGAGGGAGGACGGGGGAGGGGGGCGTGGGGGCCAAGGGTTTGGGGAAAGCGGAAGCAAGGGAGGCGGGTTGGATAGCGGAAGAAGGGGTGGGGAGGGAGAAAGGCGGGGAGGAGAAGGAGGGCGGTTAGGCGGAACAGGGGGAGAAGGAGGGCGGTTAGGCGGAACAGGGGGAGGAGGAAGGGGGGGACTGAGCGGAGGAGGGGGAGGGGGAGGGGGAGGGGGCTTGCACAGAACGTCTTCCATGCCAGCCAATAAGAAGATAGAATATGACCGCGCGCAGAGGGAGAGAGAGGGGTATGGGACACGAGAGGGGCACAGGGACGCGCATGGCTTGAGGGAAGGAAGCAAGGAGAGGCATAGGGAGGAGCATAGGGGGGAGGGGCATAGGGGGGAGGGGCATAGGGGGGAGGGGCATAGGGAAGGGCACAGGGAAGGGCATAGGGAAGGGCATAAGGAGGGGCATAAGGAGGGGCATAGACCCACTCGTCCTCATAGCAGTGCGGGCACGCACAGCCGAAGCAGCAGTCACATTGGCACCACGTATCACGATGGTGGGGGGCATGGCAACAGCAGCAGTGGCAGTGGTCACCACAGCAGCAGCCACCACAGCAGCAGCAGTGGCAGTCACAGCACTCATCACAGCCGCAGCAGCGGCAGCCATAGCAGCAGCCATAGGAAAACGCACAGCGTGAGTCACTCTAGCAGCGGGAGCGATCTTGATCTAAAAGGCCACCACCACTCTTCCTCCTCTTCCTCTGCTGCTGCGGCTGCTGCTGCTGATCTGCCTGCTCTAGTTGAGGCTCTAGCTTCAGACTCTGACGCCGAGAAGGTGGAAGCAGTAAGCACCGTGCGCGCTTTGCTAAAAGCCAACAAGGAGAACAAGGCAAAGCTGATCGCCGCAGGTGGTATACCACCCCTGGTGGCATTCCTACAGAGAAACAGCCCTGCAGGGAAAGACCAGGCTGTAACCGCTCTGCTGAATCTCTCTCTAGTTGCGGGGGCTCCGGCTATAATAGCGTCAGTTGGGGGGATTGCGGCTATTACGGATGTTCTTCGTTCGGGCAGCCCGGCTGCCCGGGAAAACGCGGCAGCTGCCCTTTTCGCGCTTTCGGTGGATGAGGCGAATCAGACGCTGGTTCGGGAAGCGGGAGCTATCCTGCCATTGGTCGGCGTGTTGCGTATGGGCAGCACGCGCGGAAAAAAAGACGCGGCGTTGGTTCTTTTCAACCTATCCAGAGACCCGCAGAGCCGGCTGGAAATCGTCCGGGCAGACGCGGTAAAAGTTTTGCTCGGGCTGCTGGGGTGCTCGGAAGTTGGGTTGGAAGAAAAAGCCATGGCTGTGCTGGCCAACTTATGCAGGCTTCAGGAGGGGTGTGAAGCGGTGCTGAGGATCAACGGTGCGGTTCCGGCGTTGGTTGCAGTGGTGGAGGGCGGTTCGCAGAGGGCGAAGGAGGATGCGGTGATGACTCTGCTGATGCTGGCAAATAGCGAGCCGGATAGCTGCAGAGGCATGCAAGGGGAGGGGATGATGGAGGTATTACACGAGTTGACCCGAAATGGGTCTTCCAGGTGTAAGAGCAAGGCTAAAGCTCTGGTAGAGCTGCTGCAGATGCAGGGGGAGGAGGATTCTGAGTAGAGTGGTTGGGGTGAGCCGGATTGTCGTAGGAAGGGGGGGTGAGGGGAGCAGGCATGCAGGGGGAGGGGATGATGGAGGTGTTACACGAGTTGACCCGGAATGGGTCTTTAAGGTGTAAGATCAGGGCTAAAGCGCTGGTAGAGCTGCTGCAGATGCAGGGGGAGGAGAATTCTGAGTTAAGTGGGCTGGAGTGAGAGCTGGGAGGCAGGGTTCCCTCTGTGTGTGTGAGCAAAGAGCAAGATCAATGCTTTAGTGGAGCTGTTGTAGATGCAGGGGGAGGAGGATTCCGAGTAGAGTGGTTGGGGTGAGCCGAAGTGTTGTAGGGGGGGGGGAGGGGAAGGGGGTGAGGGGAGGAGGCAGGTGGATGGAGGGGATGATGGAGGTATTACACGAGTTGACTCGGAACGGGTCTTTAAGGTGTAAGAGCAAGGCTAGAGCTGCTGCAAATGCAGGGGAGGGAGGATTCTGAATAGAGAGAGGAATGGGTGTGAGAAGAGTGGTCTTTGGCACGATGAGGGGAGGGAAGAGAGACGCGAGTGGAGACTGAGGCTTTGGGCAGACTCAGGGCACTCCCTGAGAGACGCGCGCTGTTAGCCCCAGTCTGCCCTCCCACCCAGGGCAGGGCAGACAGCGCTCAGACTGTGAAGGCGCTTGGCTACTCTGGGAGGGACTTGGAGGTAGCAGCAAGGCTCAAGTGGAGTTGCTGCAGAGCAGATGCAGGGGAGGAGAGTGGTCTGAAAAGGAAGTGGTTGTGGATAGAATGGGATGGGGAGAAAGAAAAGCATTCAACCCATGAAACGATTCGAAAGGCCCACGAGGAGATTTGGTCGACGCGTGAAGCGCTTTTGTTCCACCAAGTTCATCACCACGTTTTGAGACGTCTCGTTTTGAGACGTCTCAAATCCACCAAGTTCGTCACCACGTTGTCTTGATCCTCCGAGAGGAGGGGATGAGGGGAGTAGATGCGGGAGGGAGAGGGATCCCTCGTTGCAATCGTCGCCGCTGTCCGTTTCTTTTCTTATCAAGATGCTGATGCTTGTGAGTCGCCTGGAATGAAATAGGGAGAACGGGGGGAGTTAGGACAGGGGGTATGAAGCGGTGGTGATAATAATGGCGGGATGGGGTGCTAATAATGGTGGAGGGGGAAAGGAGCAAAAGTGGTGGTCACCATGGTGGAATGGGAGGCTAATATGTTTGTAAGGGGGGCCATAAAAGTCGAAAGGGGCAGGAGGAAGAGGAGGACAATTACTGTGGTGGAGGAGGGGTAATGGTTGTTGGGCTGAGTGCCCCTTAGGATCTTTGGTAGGGTTAAACTCTGGGTAGAGTGATGTAGTAGCGGAAGCGTTTAAATGAAGTCCTTGAACCACCTTGCGCTGGTATGTGAGGGCAAAGTAAGTTGATTAAAACAAGCAAGTACAAAGGTTTATATAAGAGTACAAAGAATACGAAGAGATATAATTAAACTGTTTTACTGTTGCGGTTCGATACAGTGCGACTCGGGCAACTGCTCAATGTCGAGTCAGTTGTGTGTCCTTGCTGTCGCGCTGCATTTGTCAAGTCAAAGGTCGCTGACCTTTGACTTTCGCGTAACCTCCAGCGGTTACTTCAACCTCCGAGGGTTGACTCGCTGGTGCCTCGATATGCTCTGCTTCGCTTGTGCCTTGGTGTTTCGACACGACAGAGGCGCTTAAGATTGTTTGTTCCCAACACTCCCCTTCGCTTCTGGAGTGTCGCTGCTGGTGACGTGGCTTTGTCCAGTCAGCAGCATGCAGTACTCGAACTTCTGTTTTCCGAGCTTCTTGGTCAAGTAGTCAGCTGCCATCTCGGACGTGGGACAGTAGGATAGTTCAAGTCTCCCCTTCTCAATCTCGTCTTTCACGAAGAAATATCGCAGAGCGATATGCTTCGTTCTGTTCGCGAATCCATTTTTGTTGGCGATGCGAATTGCAGATTGGTTGTCGCAGAACAGAGTGAAGTTGGGTAACTCGGCTAACTTCGCTTCTTCCAGCAGCTCGCGAAGATAGAGTCCTTCCTTGGTGGCTGAGCAGAGTGCAATATATTATGCTTCAGCTGACGAGAGAGCAATTAATTCCTGCTTGCTCGATTGCCAGGAGATCGGTCCGATAGGTTCGAGGCGGTAGATGTAGCCGGTGCGGGAGCGCCTGTTGTCGGAGTCGCCAGCGTGATCAGCGTCGACGTAGCCGATTAATTTAGTCGGTGTAGTTGTGTTCTTGTAGTAAGTTAGGCCGATCGTTGAGGTACTGACGAAGTAGTGGAGAGCGCGGTCGAGCTCCGCCAGGTGTTCTGCTTCAGGCTTCTTGAGGTAGGTGGCGAGCTGGCTTGCGGAGTATGAGAGGTCGGGGCGGCAGGTGACAGCTGCGAAGAGAAGGCATCCTAGCTTTCTCTGGTAGTCGCGTATCCCGGCGGATTTGAGTAGAGAGGATCCTTCCTTGTGGTTTCCTGTCGCGTAGCGGTAGGGCGTAGAGATGGTGGTAGGTGTGAGCGCGAAGCGTTTGGCGATGGTGTCGGCGTACTTAGCGGCGTTGAGGTAGATCGCGCCTTCTTCTTCCCGAATGTTCAAGCCGAGGTACTGTGTGACGGTAGAGGAGACCGTGAGTGTGAGGTCCCTCTGTAGCTCCCCTTCGAACCAGGTGGTGATGTCGTCAGTGGAGCCGATGTAGAGTAGGTCGTCTACGTAGACGATCAGCAGAATGTAGTCGGTGTCTTTAGTGAGTCGGTACATTCCTTGGTCGTGAGGTAGTTGGCGGAATCCGATGCGAATGAGGCGAGCGTGTAGGTACTGTTGCCATAGCCGCGGAGCTTGCTTGATCCCGTAAAGTGATTTCAGCAGTTGACAGACTTGGTTAGGTTCCCCGTTGGTACCGTGTGGGAGCTCGACGAAGATTTCCACGTCGACAGGTGCGTAGAGGAACGCGTTGGCGACATCGATTTGCCGTAGCTTCCTTTTCTTCATGGCGGCGATCGCGAGGAGGATTCGAAGTGAGGTATGTCGGCTAACCGGGGCGAATGTCTCGGTGAAGTCCCGTCCGTGCTCCTGATCGAATCCACGCACAACCCAGCGTGCTTTGAACTTCTCAATTGTGCCGTCTGCTTTTGTTTTAACACGGAAGACCCATTTCCCGGTGAGAATGGTCTTGTTCCTTGCCACGCTGATGGGGACAACTTTCCAGGTGTTCCGTTCCTCCAGCGCCTGTAACTCTCTGTCCATGGCTTCACGCCATTTTTCCCTGTGTTCCCCCCCCAGAGCCTACTGAACCGTCGCAGGCTCCTTAGGAAGAGTGTTGCCGTGGACTGCGGTGACGAGTCCGAGAATCTGCAGTCCAGTCTGTGAGTAGCGGGGAAGAGTTGCATCCTCGGGATAAGCTGCTTCATCTCCCGCTTCTGGATCAGGTATGAAATTCGGTCCTACTCGTTCTGCTTCGTTGGTGTTGACTGTCGCAGGTGTTACGTAACCGTTGTCGGCGAAGTAGTAGAAGGTTTCGGCGTTGACACTTTCGCGAGGGTTATCTTCGTCCATGGGGACGTCGACGGAGCAGAACGGAAGGGGTCCAGCTTCTTCTGATGCGTTGGCCACATTCTGCTCGTCCCAGTCAGCTTCGTCTGCTGCCGAGGCGAAGGCTCGGTCACCACGAAAACCACCTGTGGGATCTTGGTCCTCTTGCAGGTTGGCAAGGTATGTCTGGAGCGTGAGTCGTTCGTAGAAAATGACGTCGCGTGCTGCTACTGTTTCCTTGGAGTGGACGTCAAAGATTTTCCACGCGTTGTAGTTCTTTTCGATGCCGAGGTGTAGTCCCCACTGTGCGCGTTGTGAAAATCGGCCCGCTCGTGCTGCTGGGGGTCGGTACTGTACCATGCATCCGAACACTCGTAACATTTTTGTGCTGCCCTGTTTTCCTGTCCACAGCAGATGCGGTGATGCGTTGTTCGGTAGTGATGAAGATGAGAGCAAGTTGTGCAGCATGACAGCGTGGTCCATCGCGTCAGGCCACTGGTGGTTGGGTAGCCGCATGCCACGCAACAGTTTGCGCATGCTGTTCTGCAGAGTCCTGTTCATTCTTTCTGCTACACCTTGCTGCTGATGGGCGTAGGGAAGAGAGAGGAGCTGCTTGATTCCCCTTTCCGCCAGGTACTGCTTGAATCGTTGAGAGGTGTATTCTCCTCCTCCGTCAGACTGGAAGCTTTTCAGCTTTACGCCCGACTCTCTTTCTGCTACTGGTAGCCAAGCAGCGAATGCTTCGAGGACCATGTCGCGGCTGGGTAGGTTTAGATGCCAGACGTAACGGGTGGCGGCGTCGATGAAGGTGATTGTGTAGTTGTATATTACTTGTCCTGGTTCCCGATTGTACAGGATGTCGCTATACACCTTTTCGAGTGGTGCGTACGCGGGTGTGCTCGGGTTGTGATGAGGAGTGAACGGCCGATGTGGTAAGTCGGCTTTGGGGCAGGTAAGACATGTTCCTCGTGCCCGTTGAAGTTCTCTGCCGTCGAGTAGTAGTAACGAGTCATTGTCAAGGACTCCTGCTCTTATTGTGTTGTTTAACACAGTGTTGCTTGGGTGTCCCATGCGTGCGTGCCAGATGTCTTCGGAGGCGCGGTGTCCGGGTGAGCGTCGATACGCGTCGGAGTTGGAGTAGAAGCTGGCGGTGAAGTTTGCGCTTCTATGGACTTCCCGTTGAGCCGGATTCAGCTGCTGTGCGGGTGTTGGTGGTGCTTCGTCAACGAGGAGTGGTGTCGTTGTTGCTGCTACTGTTGTTGTTCCTGCTACTGCCGATGATGTCTCTGCTGCTGCCGATGATGTCTCTGCTGCTGCCGATGTTGTCTCTGCTGCTGCCGATGTTGTCTCTGCTGCTGCCGATGTTGTCTCTGCTGCTGCCGATGTTGTCTCTGCTGCTGCCGATGTTGTCTCTGTTGCTGCCGATGTTGTCTCTGCTGCTGCCGAATGTTGTATTGTTACTAACGCACGTGTTCGTTCTGCTTCA